GTGCACATGGTGCAAATCATTGAGAACTGCATGGATGCCTTCTTTAATTCTGGTGATTTTCATCTTTATGTATTTTCTGAATAAAAAATACTGCTTTATTTTTTTTTATTTTTTTATTTTTTTTTTTGTTTGAAAATTTATTTCATTCTCTGAATGATCTTTGTATAAGTTAATAATTAGAGTTCTTTGTGTTTGTATTTAAAACATCCAGCATGTAATAGTAATTTATATTGGTATTTAGAAGATACAGCATTTCAAAATTTCATTAATTTTTTAAAAATTGAAATCATAATTAAAATTGTAAATAAATCTAGAAAGACATAACAAGGTGAATTTTATATTTTATATACGTAAGTGTATTCCACACTTCCAGGCTTGGATCTGAGTGAAAGTTATGGGTGGGGTAGGCTGCTGTCAGCCATGCAGATACCAGAGTTGACGTTTCGGGAGTTTCTGGTGGAAAGTTTACGTCAGGGCAGCTATTTGACATTGTACGCGTATGTCCTGCAGCATTTACCAAAATGCCAGAGCCTTGATGAAGAAAATAGCCATATTGCTGGGATAGTGCAGTGGACTGCAACAGCCAAACCAACGTATGTATTATGATTGATTCTAAAGCGTGACATTTTGTCAGTTGTGTATTGTGCACAAATCTACTTGCACTTCACATATTCTATGATAAGCTTAATTATCCAGGTTTGCTAAATTAACAAAAATAAAGTTCTTAAAGTTTGAGGGAAGTCACCAGGTATATTCTGTTTGTTTGCAGTCCTCATATCTGATTTAATTCTATGCTTAGATATTCTTGTTGTTTTATGTTATTGTATTCCTTTAGCTGCAGATAAGTTTCAAGTACTAAATGATTATCAAACACATTTGTTTTCTCAGAAGTGAAAATGAAGCCAAGTTATTCCTGTGGTGGGGTAAGATCCTAGATCTGCTGCTACGGCAGATTGACTTTGGCGCCTCGCATGCCATTGTGATCAGATCTCTGAACAACTTCATCGCAGCACTCACCACACTGGGAGAAGATAAGATAAGTGCTGGACTACTGGGAGCTATAGGTCTTGGCAGGGCATCCAACTTGTCTGTTAGGTAAAGAGATTGAAAATTGTCACTTTCCTGATATTCCGAATTTAAATGCAATTTTGTCCAAGTAGTTTTAACAAAATGTGTATTTACAGTTGCATGTGTTGTATTATGCCCAGTATAGAAATAATTATTTATTGTGGTATAATTTTCTTTGTAAGAAAATGTAAAATATGAGGAAAGTAATTACTTTTACTTTTAAGTAGAAGTTTAAAAATTGTATAAGATACATATTCATTATGGTTAGTTTATAGTTTTTTGGTGGTATGAACCATTTTCTAAATTTACTTCGGTTTATCTCGCAGGTTCCGTTTAGTGGCAAGAAGTCTGTCTGCTTTCCTTCAAGCACAGATCGTGAAGAACAATGCTCTTAGACTCGTGCCCCATGACCATACTCCAGCCAATGTACAGCAAATTGTCACCTCCCTCAGAAACCTCAAGACAAACAAGCAGTACACACCCCTCAAAGAGCAGATAGATTTTGCCTGTCAGTTTGTCAGCTCAAGAGGCAGGTGTTTGAGGGATGCCAAGTTCTTGTTAGCAGAGCTGACTGGGGTCCTGTTCCCAGAGAAAAGATACCTGGCTGTAGTTCAAAATCCTCAGCCATAAATTGTATTTCGAACAGCAAGAGTTGATGGTCTTATTTGGACATGATATTCTCTTTGATTGTTTTGTATGACAATATACATGTTGTATAGAGGTAGCATGTTTCATCAAAGGCATTGTATTCACATTATTTTGTGCCGCATGTCTTGCCTGAAACAGGTCTTTGTTTACAAAATCAACAAAATTGAAGGCAAAAAATGAGATTTGATTGCATTACTTTATATTAAGTCCACAGCATGACTTAATTACTGGTACAGCAAATTGTACTGATTGTGTAGAAGCCATGATATTGAAAATGCTTACACACATTGTAGTGAAGCATGTGGCTGCTGTAATTGGATAAGATTGATAACTTCAAGTGCTTCTTAGCAGGCTCTCTACAAGAATTGAGTGATCTTGACTTGAAGGACCTAGCTCTTACTTTAAGAGGAATGGAGCACCATTGATTGAAAAATATTTACCTCTCTTTGCCTCTAAGCATTGTTTTTATATTGTTAATATTTTTTATCTTGAATGGTTGTGGTTAACCAAGCTTATTATTTTATTTAATTTTTTCATTAATAATTAGCGTTAGAAAATGTTAGAACATCGAGTTGGGGAGATTTTAATTTCCTCCCCATTTGCAGGCTGTGAATGGTTTCAAAGTACTGTTGATATACTTGGCATATGTACATATATTGATAATTCTGGGTCATGTGCCAGTGCACATTGCTTGTTTTTGTGTCTGGTCATGGAATATTGTGGGAAACTGGTGTAATGTGGGAAACTACATGTAGCTGTGCTTTGGGATGGTGACATTTAGAGTTTCAATGAAAGTACATATATTATTGCCATAACTTAAACCACTTGGCAGTTCGATACCCAAAACTGTTGAAAAACATTCTTATTTCATTAATTGTATACACTGAAAACTTGACATGGACCTTTAGAGGAGAGCTGCACTGTGGTTTATTTGATTTCCAGGTCATTCCACAAAAATGTGAACTTTTTAGCCACTTCTGTGATGCACACATTTTGTGTAACATTTGTATATTTTAATATAATTCAGTCAGTTTTATACGACTTTTATTATGGGTGATTTCTTTATAGGAGGATGCTATAGCATTATTTAAAGCAGGTACAATGCAAAGTTATGTAAATGTTACACAAAATGTATGCATCACTGATGTGACTCAAATTTTTACTTTTTTTGTGGAATGACCTTTTCATAGGTTTTGAAACTGCTGTCTGGGAACCAATTTTTAATTAGTATAAAGAAGACCAAGATATTTCAAATGTGAATTACTGTTTCCAAAGATGACACATTTTGATGGGGTATCATTCGATCTGAAAATATTTTTACTCAAATTTTTTGTGCAATATGAACATGTGGTTATGGAGTAAATGTTATAAGAGATTCATGGAATGGAGCTTAAAGTGTTTATGTTTAATGCTAAATATAGCAAATACAGATATTATCAAGTGGCAGACATTTCAATGGGCAACTGTGAGAGATTTATTGCCTTAAGTGTATGCCATCTACGGACTTTATACCATGTAAATTCTAATTCATAAAATAAATATTTGTTGAAATGTTTTAAACGTTTCCTCATAAATGTAGCATAAAATTCATTTATTTGATAAAGAGACGGCTGTCTACTGCTAGATTGATAAAAATATCACATCCAAAACCATGGAAACAATAAACCAAATGATAGGATTACTTGAAAAGTTGGTCTATTTGCATCTTACATAAAATTTGTGTGAGATGACTCAATATAAATGGCTTGAAAATTTATATGTATCTTTGGTTATAAAAGTATAATAAAGCATTTAACACATTGTCAATTACAAGTTTGCACATAGTTTTACATTGAATACTCCCACTTTGAATGGTTTTCAACTCGAACCATAAATAACAGCCAATGTGGTAATAGGATCCTGTTAAAGCAAAGCCAATGACATTTTCTGAATGGCATTTATACCTAAACTGTAATTACTCAATAAATTTGAACAAAACAATCAAAAAGCAATACTTCGCAATGTTGTTTTAAGTTTTGAAAAGTAAATTGGACTCGAGGCAAAGAGTACTTGTAACTAAAACTGATACATCCTTTAATAAAGAATTATTAGACCAAATGTTTGAAAGTTTTAAATAATTAGCCTTTGACATTTTCCCTAGCAACAATGAATCACTCATCGTAATCCTTTGATATCACCTACTAAGTTATTCTCTAATATCCATGTTTCGTCCTCAACACCTACGCTATTGGGTGGCGTACTGGTCCCACAGTAATAACAGCTGTATTAAGGGCAGTGGTTGGTGTTAATATGCCTGTTTGTAAAATAGCTCAAGGTGTGTGAAATATAAGTTTGTAAATGGCAATAATTACTATGAAGTTCAATAACTTCAGGAAAACCACGCCTGTGCTTGACACTTAGGATTCTTATGGAAATCTTTACATTTTCAATTTGGATTTGTAATTTATTTTAAGATTAAAGCAAGAAACAAATGTCAAAAGTTCATAAAGGGTAATCATGCTTTTTAAATTGTGGAACCCAGCCAGCACCAAACAATTACAAGTGATTGGAAATACTATGCTGCTTGAAGTCATTTTGGTGCAACTAGGCTATATGTAAGGGCGCACAAGAAGTGACTAAAAACCCACACATAGTTTTATTGCCAATTGTGTTTATCATTTTGGATGAAGGTTTTATAGAACATATTAGCATTTCCTGACATTTTTGAGGATGTGGTTCAAAATGTGACAAGAGTATTTTGACAGGGTATTTTTATGTGAAATTTCAGTTTAAATCTGACAACCCTAATCTTATAATTGCTGCCTGTCTGTACTATACGGTTTTAAACCTTAACATTAGTAGGCCTGTAGAGAATCTGCCATTGCACCAGTAATGATAGAGTGTAAAGAAAATGGAGGTTCCTGTAGAAAAGCTACAAACAAGCATCCCTGCAGACCCCTCCCCTCCCCCCCAAGAAAAAAAAAACTGCTATGCCTATGCACAATATGCATTTTTGTAAAGCCTCTTTGGACCAAAGCAAAATAAAAAAGTCCAACTTTTATTACAAATAAATGCTAATTACATTTAGTTAAACCAAAAATATTTTTTTATGTGTCAAATTTAAAGTATTCAAATTATTGTTGTCAGATTAGACTTAATTCAAAAGGCTCATATTTTCATCAAAACTATCAACTGGCTTTCTATGAAGTGTAGGATCCTTCTGTTGACCATATAGTCTTACATTTATACGTGGCAGAAGAAAAAAAAAATTAATGTCTGGTAAATAACATATACCAATAAATGGCATGTTATAATGTATTCTTCTTTCATTTCAGTCATACACTTGTCCATCTAAATGACTTTGGATACCCCAACATTTTTAAAACTGTATTACAACTGCACTCCATCCTCTATTTACACCTTTATTGCATTTATCCTGGTCTTTTCTAAGTAGTATGTTACAGATCAACACAAAATGATCAGCTGTATATATGGTTTACATATTACTAGGTGGTAGAGGGCGCTTGTGTAGTGAAGCTAAGTCCTTGTCTTCTCTCTCATCTGATGCTGTTGATCTTGGTTTTGGGGATAATTTGGCCACTTTTGCTGAAATGAAAGTAAATGATATCTTGAAGATTGTGAGGGTTATTCTTTCTTGTCCTCTGATCTCAACATCTAACCGCAGTCTACATGTTAAAGATTACGTAAACATCTCTCTCTATTCAGAAAACATTATATGTTGTGAGAACACGCATGTATTATAACATGACCACAGTTGACCTTCAACTTCTCTTGGTAATAAAAAGTGAATCAATTTTAGTCATAAAACAACTTTTTGTACCTCTGTTTTCAAAATCTTTGGCAATGTCCTTTAGGTTTATCCCATGGGCTTTGGCATATTTCACATCAGACAGTAATCTACTCTCCACATCCTCAATTACTGCAAAGTGAAATCAAATAAAGATAACTGATATTCATAAATTATATTCAATTATTTTGATTGAGAAAAAAGCCAGTTATTATATAAACACATATATTACATAAAGCACATCACTTTGTAAATCAATTATTGATATTCAACTGGATTTACATAATTATTCAAAGCAGTGAAGTTGAATGCTAAACGTTTACTCACAATCATGCTTAAATGCCCCAAATCTACCCTCTGATATTTGGACTTCCCCTGATGGTTTACCAGCTGAAATAAAAAAGATTGGTACCTGAGCCAAACGCATTAACACACTGGGCATTCTACGCAGACCACTGAACAATATTTTTTAATATAACCCAAATTAAAACAAAACAGTGAAAATGACATACATGTATCCACAGACACTAAACAAGAAAGTGATGGTTATCATCACTATTCCATTTTAAGATAAATACACCCCATTTCCATAGATTAGATCGACCTACTTTAGATCGACCTAACTCCCTGGGGGTTCACGCTAAATAGCTGAAAGTTAATTACCCCGTTACAGCTTGTAATAGGTGGGACGGACATTTAAGTCGGATTATCTGAAAGTAATCTAGTGAGACTCATCGCGGGGATAGATCGATCTAAAATTTATGGGAATAGAGCCATAGACACATTCCAGTAAACAAGTATCCAACTTTGAAATGTTTATACTGTGATTGACTTTGTGAAATGTATACACTGTACCTGCCTTCAATTAACTTGCTATTTTATACAAATTCTCCATCTAAACAGTAAACATAGGTTCAGCTCTTTGTTTCACATTACAATTAATAAAATTTTCAAAAATGTTACAGAATTAGAAAATGTTAATTCCTGTTACCCAAAACAAATTAGATTTTCATTTTGATAACATTTAACAAATCTCTACAATTGTACATATTGTATTAAAGAATACATGGGACAAAACACCGTGAAATGTACCTTTTTAGAAAATAAATCAATCATGCCAATTTATAAATTCAACTTGCTTTTTCACCAAATTTTAGGAAAAAAAACCACAATTTGGCACTGGTGGTGTTAACATAGCAAAAATGTGTGTAAAAAATACAAAAATGATCAATAACTTTTTTTGGAAATAATCCATGCCACTGTTTAAGCTCAGGCTGCCTTTTTGTCAAATAAAATCACTCAAAAAATTCAAAGTAAAAGAAAAATACACTTTAGCAGTTATGATGCTAACAAATGAGTTGGATGGCAGCATTATTGGAAACAGTAAAAACAGACACTGGTAATCAGAATTTAGTATAAAAAATATCCAAATAATAATAACAAAAAAAAGAAGCAAATTTTATTCACCATTTTGGCAATTGCCTTGTTAATTTATAACAAAGTTAAATGAATAATTTATTAAAAGAGAGGGAAGTAGGTGTGGGAGCTCACTTTAGCCTAGGATTTTGGATCCTAGCTTTAGCCAATAAACTAAATCTGTCTGTAAATGATCTGCAACAGACCCCTTCCCTGCTTTCTCAATCTTTATTACTTTTGCTAAATTATTATGCCTTACGTGTTTCAACTTTTCCAAGCTCACTCTCTGACCAAACTTTATCCAGAAAATGTCCTTTGTCCTTGGTCTCAGTTGGATTTGCAGGGACTTGAGGAATGTTTGGATCTGTCTTGATACTACCATGACTGTCTTTCTCAGGCTTGGTACTATCGTCATGTAGAATTTCACCTAAGGAAGTCATAATCAATATAATTTTTTTTCATATTTTTTTTTTCATTTTTTTTAAATAGAAATTCAAAGGTATAAAAGACTAATCCATTTCCTTTACCTAATGTTAAAATTGTTATATGAAAATTAACTCTGTTAATGATACATTTACCTGGTAGTTACAAATAAGAATTCTGTGAAAAAAGGTTTTACTATTCCATTTATAAATGTAGTAAAATTTAATCTGTTTTAACTACAGCCAAGCAATACATGTACACCTGTTTGTTTAATAATATGTACAAGAGGTGCACAGTTATTTATTCATATTATAATTCAAATCTGTTGCTCACCTTCTCTGTCTTTTGTATTATGGCCTGTTATTGCTTTTGTTATAATCAACTGTCGAGCCGTTTGTAACTTTTCTTTGACATCCTGGAAATAATCATTTTTTTAAATATCCAAATTTCTAATGTTTTTAATAATCATTAATACTGAAATGCTTTTCCTTTCAATTTCAGGCATTATATCCTCTAAAAATACTTAATTATAGAGTGCTGCTAATCGCTCACTTTATACATTTTTATCACTCGGTTCTACCACTAATTAGATGTGCTCAAACCAGCCTTCAACCTATATTGCTTGTTATTAAGCTGCCAGCACAAGACCTCATTCTGTCACAGCTTGTCAAAGAATGCACACAACTTGTGTGCCCACCGCTAACCGGAGAATGAGCACTGCTACCACTGTACCACTTTGCTCAGCCAGTACAGGTGCATGTATACACATGAACTAGCCAAAATGTATACTCTTGCATCAAGAAAATGCCAATAAGAACATGTGAGTACCATCTGTATTTATTTTTGAAGTGATGAAAATAAAAATGAAATCAAAAAAAAAAATGTCTTCAACAGATTGCATTAATCTAAAAATTTAACCATACCTGTAAGAGGGCAACTTCTTCCGAAGTTAGTTTATTTAAAAAACTATAGACTTCATCATCTTCACTTTTTTCTGTCTCTCCTTCCTGGCTTTGAGATTCAGTGGGAGGCACGGTGGCCAGTGGAAGGGGGGTTGTTACATCAGACTTCTTATCCCTGTTAAGCTGTTGTAACTGAAGAAAAAACATTGATCAACCATCTGAATCAGTTTCTTCTAAACAGTGCCTTGATTCAGAGTTCTATTTCTGGACTATCTGTCACATTTATACATGAACCAAAAGCTTTACATGACAACATGTGTGGAAGTAATTAGTCTGTGTTTTAGGTGTAGCTTATAATCCTTCAGCATTTCAACATAAAAATGTAGGCTGTTGATTAGTTTGGGGGTGGGCCTAGGATTACCTCCTACAATTATAAAACAATCCTGAAATAACTTAGATCAATAATGGACATAGTCATAGTAAATTGTCAGCTTTTTACAACATCTAAATGACCATATCACTGCCATATCCTAAAAGCATGTTACAGTGAGGAATTCTCAAAAAAAAATCTCACATGCTTTCATGATTGCCATTTGTTCCACACTGCCTGTGGTAATAAATTTTTTTCCTAACTGCCATTTGCAGCTGTTGATTTGTATAAGCCAAAAACAATGTAGGGCAGAAATGTTGAACTTGCTGGATCTACTCACCAATGTTTGGAGGTTGGCCAGCTGAAAATTAAAAGAAAAACTGAGATTATATTTCATAAACGCCATGTCAGTATGCCACATTCAATTCTTACTCTCATGTTGTATGTGCATTAAATTTAGTGACCAAAAATAAAATACAATTATCAAATACCAGACAGGGTTTCATCATCATTTAAGTTGTGGCTGAACAAATTTCATCAAAGTGTGAATAAATTTGTCCTTTGAAATATTGTAAAATAAAACTTATGTCACATATATATTAATATATTTATCTCTCCTACCTTAGATTTAATGTCTTCTAGCTAGAAAAACATAAGACAAAAATCAATAAAAGTTGAATCAACAATTTGATTACTGTCATCCTGTCAGTATTCAAAAATAAATAGTCCTTTCGTCGTTTCATTTTAATGTTTAAAAATATCAAATGTTCGTGTGGTTAAATATCTAATGTGCTTAAAAACCTTTCTCAAGGCTTCATTATAATTGCGCAATTGAGACCGATGCGATTAAATCATAAGAAAGTTGGCCTTTGGCATATTTGAATTTTGCCTAGCAGAAATTCAAAAATTAAAGTTTTTGAAAAAATTTCAGTCTTCCAAATTAAAAAAAAGAGAGAGAGAGAAGAGAAACATTTAAAAGTTATGAAGNGATGGGTACGGGGGCCCTTACCGTCTAGGAGGAGAAGCGGTAACGGTAGCCATCCGGCGGAGCCGGCGGAGCCAACGGAGCCGGCGGAGCCGGCGGAACGATCCGGACGGGACCGAAACCATGTGTACCGCCAGCGCTAACGCTGGTGGTACAATGATCTGCAACAGACCCCTTCCCCCACTTTCTCAATCGATCCTTATTACTTTTGCTCAATTACTATGCCTTACGTGTTTCAACTTTTCCAAGCTCACTCTCTGACCAAACTTTATCCAGAAAATGTCCTTTGTCCTTGTTCTCAGTGGGGTTTGCAGGGACTTGGGGAATGTTTGGATCTGTCTTGATACTACCATGACCATGATTCTCAGTCTTGGTACTATCATCATGTAGCAATTCACCTAAGGAAGTCATAATCAATATTAAAAAAAATTTTTCATAGTTCTTTATAGAAATTCAAAGGTATAAAAGACTAACTTATTTCCTTAACCTTATGATAAAACTTTTACAGTTATACATGAAAACTAACTCTGTAAATAATACAATTATGTGGTAGTTACATGTAAGAATTCTGTGAAAAATGGGGTTTTACTATTCCATTTATACATGTACATGTAGTAAAATTTAACCTGATTTAAACTAATACATGTACATTTGTTTGTTTAATATGTACAAGAGTTACTTATTCATACTATAATTCAAATCTGTTGCTCACCTTCTCTGTCTTTTGTATTATGACCTGTTATTGCTTTTGTTATAATCAACTGTCGAGCCGTTTGTAACTTTTCTTTGACGTCCTGGAAATAATCATTTTTTTTAATATCAAAATTTCTAATGTTTTCAATAACCATAATATTGAAATGCTTTTCCTTTCAATTTCAGGCATTATATCCTCTAAAAATACTTAATTATAGAGTGCTGCTAATCGCTCACTTTATACAACTTTATCACTCGCTTCTACCACTAATTAGATGTGCTCACCACAGCCTTCAATCTATATTGCTTGTTATTAAGCTGCCAGCACGAGACCTCATTCTGTCACAGCTTGTCAAAGAATGCACACAACTTGTGTGCCCACCGCTAACCGGAGAATGAGCACTGCTACATGTACCACTTCGCTTAGCCATTACAGGTACATGTGTACATTTGTACCAACCAAAATGTATACTCTTGCATCAAGAAAATGCCAATAAGAATGTGTGAGTACCATCTGTATTAATTTTTGAAGTGATGAAAATAAAAATGAAATAAAAAAAAAAAAAATGTCTTCAACAGATTGCATTAATCTCAAAATTTAACCATACCTGTAAGAGGGCAACTTCTTCCGAAGTTAGTTTATTTAAAAAACTATAGACTTCATCATCTTCACTTTTTTCTGTCTCTCCTTCCTGGTTTTGAGATTCAGTGGGAGGCACAGTGGCCAGTGGGAGGGGGGTTGTTACATCAGACTTCTTATCCCTGTTAAGCTGTTGTAACTGAAGAAAAACATTGATCAACCATCTGAATAAGTTTCTTCTAAACAGTGCCTTGATTCAGAGTTCTATTTCTGGACTATCTGTCACATATAATATACATGAACCAAAAGCTTTACTTGACAACATGTGTGGAAGTAATTAGTCTGTGTTTTAGGTGTAGCTCATAATCCTTCAGCATTTCAACATAAAAATGTAGGCTGTTGATTAGTTTGGGGGTGGGCCTAGCATTACCTCCTACAAGTATAAAACAATCCTGAAATAACTTAGATCAATAATGGACATAGTCATAGTAAATTGTCAGCTTTTTACAACATCTAAATGACCATATCACTGCCATATCCTAAAAGCATGTTACAGTGAGGAATTCTCAAAAAAAAAAAATCTCACATGCTTTCATGATTGCCATTTGTTCCACACTGCCTGTGGTAATAAATTTTTTTCCTAACTGCCATTTGCAGCTGTTGATTTGTATAAGCCAAAAACAATGTAGGGCAGAAATGTTGAACTTGCTGGATCTACTCACCAATGTTTGGAGGTTGGCCAGCTGAAAATTAAAAGAAAAACTGAGATTATATTTCATAAACACCGTGTCAGAATGCCACATTCAATTCTTACTCTCATGTTGTATGTGCATTAAATTTAGTGACCAAAAATAAAATACAATCATCAAACACCAGATAGGGTTTCATCATCATTTAAGTTGTGGCTGAACAAATTTCATCAAAGTTTGAATAAATTTGTCCTTTGAAATATTATAAAATAAAACTTATGTCACATATATATTAATATATTTATCTCTCCTACCTTAGATTTAATGTCTTCTAGCTAGAAAAATATAAGACAAAAATTAATAAAAGTTGACTCAACAATTTGATAACTGTCATCCTGTCAGTATTCAAAAATAAATAGTCCTAGACTTCATTTTAATGTTTAAAAATATCAAATGTTCGTGTGCTTAAAAACCTTTCTCAAGGCTTCATTATAATTGCACAATTGACACCGATGCGATTAAATCATGAGAAAGTTGGCCTTTGGCATATTTGAATTTTGCCTAGCAGAAATTCAAAAATTAAAGTTTTTGAAAAGATTTCAGTCTTCCAAATCAAAAAAAAAAAAAAAAAAAAAAAGAGAGAGAGAGAGAGAGAGAGAGAGAGAGAGAGAGAAGAAAAACATTTAAAAGTTATGGAGGTTTTTAAAGATAATTTCTTACCCCAACTCTCCCTACATTTTTAAAATCTAAATCATGGTTGTAAAATGGTAATAAATACCCATGTATGCTTAATTCCCATACTGTGCAAAATCATATAGTTTTGACCTTCAGAACTATGAGAGATGTCATCCACATTGAGAGTCATAACAAAACAACAATGCAATGATACAAAAGAATGCGTCAACACAATCAAAAAGAAAACAACTGAGTTGACATGGCATTTATAACACCATCAAAAACTTGCGTCATTACATCAGTCACCATAACTGTAATTATAAAAAAGGTTAGGTTAATCTCATAGAAAACTTTTGCGCAGCAGTTCTCAAGATTCCAAACCATCTGCAAAATTGCAAAAAAAAAAAAAAAANATCATAAGAAAGTTGGCCTTTGGCATATTTGAATTTTGCCTAGCAGAAATTCAAAAATTAAAGTTTTTGAAAAAATTTCAGTCTTCCAAATTAAAAAAAAGAGAGAGAGAGAAGAGAAACATTTAAAAGTTATGAAGGTTTTTAAAGATAATTTCTTACCCCAACTCTCCCTACATTTTTAAAATCTAAATCATGGTTGTAAAATGGTAAAAAAATACCCATGTATGCTTAATTCCCATACTGTGCAAAATCATATAGTTTTGACCTTCAGAACTATGAGAGATGTCATCCACATTGAGAGTCATAACAAAACAACAATGCAATGATACAAAAGAATGCGTCAACACAATTAAAAAGAAAACAACTGAGTTGACATGGCATTTATAACACCATCAAAAACTTGCGTCATTACATCAGTCACCATAACTGTAATTATAAAAAAGGTTAGGTTAATCTCATAGAAAACTTTTGCGCAGCAGTTCTCAAGATTCCAAACCATCTGCAAAATTGCAAAAAAAAAAAAAAAACTGCAAAATGCCATACACAATAAATATTCCATCACTTTCCTAATAGACCCTTAAAGTGACAAGATTAACTTAAAGTCCTAGCAACTCCTCTGCTCCCCTTCCTACAGACCTGATAATGAATACAAACAGCTATATCAATGATACCAGATTAAGTGATATATTAAGATGCTAAGTCAAGCCTCTCACAAGCAATGAGGTATGATTGCCATTTTTATCTTAAATGAGTTTACACACATCTCACATCTAAATATATATATTTTTATCTACCACAGGCTTTGCCAAAATCAATGAAAGTTACAAAAAGCAATCTTAAACCTTTAATTGTCACTCCCAAACTTTTAAATGTCTAAAAGAATAAACTTTTAATCACACATGCAGTTTTCTCATGTTCTTGAATTACACTAAAATCCACACAATCACTTTATTTTTCTTTTTGTTCCAGCATAAAATATATATCCAGCCCCCCACCTTTGCAAGAAGTAGCCCAACAGTTACCATTTGGTAAAGGGGGGGGGGCTGGAGGGATAAATTCTTATACTCATATTTTTGCCCACCTCTCACTTCTTTTAATTCTGGATTCTCTAGTGGTATTTCACCATTTCACTTCACATAGCTAGATCTTAGCTGACTATAACAATAGGCTTGAACAGAAGGGCTACATGGTTTTCTAAGAGTTGTTCTGCATTAAAAATAAAATTGCCCTTAGTTGAATCAGTTAATATTTACTATAAGGAAAAACAAACCCTTATAAGACTTATAATAAATGATGAAACTAACAGGAAATAAGTGATACACTGAATAAAAAAGAAATTTCCATAAGCCTGAGCTTTAGAGCAGTTCTGCTAGGAAAATGCCTGCAAAGAGGTTTAGTAAAAATCCCAGCACTTGATCTCCCCATTGTAAATATTGAACGGCTCCATCAATCAAAGTTCTGGCACACTACTTCAGCGCTGAGTATATGCAGAGTTCACACACAAACCTTGCACTCACTCATTCACTGCTGTAGTATATATATTGCCACCCTTACCTTCTTGTCTTCAACGGCTGAACTTTCGGGAACTGAAACACAGAAATAAAGATGTGAGGACTTAACTCAGAAAAGCATTTTTATAGATGGATGTCCTTCTAAGAACAAAACGTTCAACGGTACAGGCATCCATCTCCCCCCCCCCCCCCCCCCCCCCCACCTCCTTCCCGTCCAGCCGTGTAAATTTACAGATTGGGGATTATTTAAGTGGATTATAACGACTTGATCCTGAAAGCCATGTTTGAGTCGCCTGTAATCGCTCTTTAAAAAATAAAAAAGACGACTAAGAAAGATCTACCTGGTCCACAAAACGCATTCTCAGCTGCAAGAAGCAAACCAAGTAAGAACAGATTAATCCAGTTCAACATGATGCTTCAGCCTGCCAAGACGAAGTGGTGTGTCTCTCTCGGTCAATTTAGTTGTGGTTACGTCTAATGTCCCAAGTATTTATGATGTTTCCAATATCGGTCGCGGTATAAGTGCGTACTCCTTATCGCTGCCCAACCTTTAATATAAGCACTGAACCCTTATCGTGGGCGCAGCGACAATCAAACTGGTCCCACCAGCCGGAAGCTTGGCAACTTTTAATACTTGACGTCATAGTAATAAGCGCTCGAGTTTTCATTCCAGAGTCAAAACAATTAAATCAGACTTTGCATTATGTGCCATTTAACAGTTTGAGTACCAAAAGTTTAGCTATATGGTTTTTAAAAAACTATATAAAATAAAGGTATTTTGCACACTTGTGGGATTGTTTTGCGGCAACTAAAATGAAGCATGATCAATGCCATAGATGTTCCAGAACAACACGACGCAATCGCGAACACAAGGATGGTCTTCTTTATTCAAAAGATGCATAATATAAGAAAACTCAGGGTTTGGAGAAAAGGTGGAGCAGCATCTGAATTTAGTAAGGATTCTCCGAAAATGTTTTATTCGTTCAAACTTTCTACCTGCTGCTCCCCTAACCTATAAACCTGGAACCCGCTGTTGCCTCTATCCCAAATGAGTTACAAAAATTATATAAAATATATATATATAGGTGGACCCTGTACCCTCCCTTTATTAGAATTGTTCAATGTTATTTTCTCAAAGTCTTGACCATGTTGACATGTGTTCCTGGCAAACCATTTCAAGAATAATGCCAAAGAGTATAACGCTTTTCAAAACGGTAAATAATGGGTTTTCATTTGGCTTTCTTTCGTTTATCTGTCTATCTATTTATCTATATTGCTCTTAGTTGATGATCAGTTCTCAGCTTTGCCGCTGCCTAGATTGTTTCTTTTGGATGGAAAAATAAAATAGTTATTCAGAACTTCTCTGTTTGGTCTAGGAAATAATGTTCCCAAGTTGGAACCGCCGATTGATTCAGAACAGAGGGGTCGAATAACGTTGCGACAGCGTCATGAAACGTGCCTTGTAGACAAAATATGTTTTCCATTTCTCCATGAACAACAACAAACACCCTTTCAGTTTTAAGTCGAAATCCTTAATAAGGAATGAAATTCCCATCCCTGCTATGCCCATCATATGCTTACGCTCAGTACTGCAAGTACCCAAAATTTTATTTGTTATTTAAGGTCAACGATTTAACCATTTTTTTTCACAAACTTGATCTAGTGTCATCGAGAAGACGGTGTGGATCAGGGGAGCACACATATTCAGTTTATATATTGCAACTTAGAAATAGTAGACATGCCACATTAGAGCAATAAAAACAGTAAGACAGAAATCGTGGTTATAGGCTATTGTTTAGTTTGTTTTCCCAAATTGTAAATACCCTGCCAGGCAAAAAAAACGACTTTCTACCAAAATATGGACTGTATTACACAGTACGGAATATCACTTTCCCAAACACATAGATGAAAGGAAGGGAATACATAGATATATTCCATTTGTTTTCTTTAATCTGCTTCACAAATGGCATATTACATTCACTTTAAAGCAATTACCTATTTTTATAGAAGCACGTAAAGGAGTAAAATTTATGTTAAAAAAATTAAAAAGATCACTTTTCTCTTATATTGTTTTAATGCAACAGATTCAAGGCAATATTCAACATCATACATACTTTGAAATGTGCAGTTTAAAAAGTATGTCAAATATATGATATATATAAAAATTATTTAAACAGCCTGTCTGCACTATATATTTTCTCTGTATATCTGTATATTTTACATCCATATAAATACTATACACTATAATTCTCTGTATTTTCTTATAAGTGATGCATTGCAACAGTTACCGTTTATAAAAATAAACTTTTCAACAGAAGTTGGTAAAGATATGTCATAATAACATTTTCAAACATTTTACACTATCAAATTTGGTATCGAAAGGCTGACTAATCAAATTTACATTACTGAGGATTCATTGTGAAGCACATGGACTGCTCATTATTTTCCTACGTGTGCTAAGGTAAAAGAAACTTGTGGTTCTTCTTCAGAATACAGACTTTGACATAACATTTCACATCATTTAGAAGAATATATTGGTGTTGAAACTTGCTACATTATTGCTTCATATGAAGCAACCAGCTTATAGTCTGTTAAGCTCTATCTTTGTTTACTGCAGCTTGATTGCAATTAACCTTATCTGGTATCCTTCTACTGCTTTACTTAGGGATAGACAATTATGAAAGGTAACCAATCTTCAGGACAATTATATCATCTTCTGTTCAACAGTAAAAAAATCAACATACATCTTTTATTTAAAACTTTTTTCCCAAATGAACATAAGATCTTATCTTTTTAATAACATGCATCCAAACCAAATATACAAATTGGTTATCTGTAAGATATTCAAAAATACTATGTAAAAATAATCCAATCTTTGCAAAAATCCTCTGCTGGTAGCTTCAAGCCACTTAATTAACTGCATGGACGGAAAAATACCCAGACAGCCTATTGTCTGGAAATAACTTTTCTATTGATATTTTTTGTAAATATGCAACTTTACATGGGAACCATGCTTTTTGCAAGAAATCACAGTCTTCCTTTGTTCAACTTTATACTTGTTCTTCACATTAAAAGAAAATCTTTTTCATGACATTTAAAAATTCTTGAAAGAGACAGTAAGCCAATTGCACAAGCTTCTTTTGGCATTTCACTGGACGGAGTGACTACAGTAAAATATACCAAATAACAAATATACACAAATGACACGCACAAACAGGGTCCTTGTTAAAATTTCATCCCATTATGAAAATCTAATATCTGTCTGAATTAGAGTCAAATTTAGTATGTTTTAAATGACAAAAAAAAAAATAATAATAATAATAATAATAATAATAATAAATAAATAAATAAATAAATAAATAAATAAATAAATAAATAAAAAACAGGAATCCAAGTGAATAAAAAAGTGAAGAATATATCTGGTCTGAAAACTCTATAGGTAATCTTTACAATGTTCTTATCATAGCATTGTTGTTGCTGTCAGCTGACAAAAATTCAGTGAGAATGTTATTTTTGGTGTTCTATTCATAGATATAGATATATGTATAGTTATGACATGTCCATCTTCTAAATTGCCTCAAAGTCCTGTAACACTAATGACAGCTGAAAACAGCAAAGGATGGTCACTGAGGACACCACTGCTCATCTTAGAGATAATATAAATGGATATCAGGGAAACTGCTGGTAACTATGACAACAGCTGTAGTAACTATGACAACAGGTTTTGTAACTCTGACAACAGTTGATGAAAAGACAGACAGTTGATTATCAGGGAGATTACTGAACTCCTTGCTGCTCATAACTGAGACAGGTAAGCACCAGAAGAGGTTTCGTGGGGCCATATTGGCTCACTGCAGCACACAAATCTTGCTCTCCTTTTGTCCTGACTGGGACCGCCTTGACTGGGCACTCCTGGCACGCCCTGGGCTGGAGTCCCTGGAGTTCATCTTTACTTGGTCAGCCTGCACTTGGACTAGTTGTTGCTGAAAATAAGGAACAGTTTTCATCTGGTAGTAATTTTTGTCAGAATTTATTGCTTGTGTATTTATTGTCAGAATTTTTTGTAGAATCTCAAGGAAATCTGCCTCCAATATAGTACAATTTTTTTTTGTGTACTACCAACAATTACCATAAAATTTTTATTTTATTTGTTATCACTCCATCAGACAAATTCTCCAAGCTTACCTGCAGAGACATCACAATGTCATAATTAGCTTGCATTTTGTCACTTTGTTTTGAGAGTTCAGATCGTAGCAGCTTTATTTCAGATTGCAAACTCTGTTCCCTTTCCTATGGAGAGAAGTAATAAACAGGTAGGTTATATAACTTAATACAACTTCCAATAAAACAGATATGATGTTTATAAAAACTTAATTTTAAAAAGTCTACGTATTCACAGATAAAAAATTAATCCTGAAAAAAAGAATTGTCATAGAAACTTAAGAAGCTGAGACATTCAAAATTTAATAGTTTTTTTCATACTTTTGCAGCTTTCTCTGCCTGCTGCTTTAATATGGCCTGTTCAAGCTTATATTTATCTTCCATTTCTCTCAACCTTTCTTCTGTTCGTCTCTTCTCATCTTTTAGTCTTTCAAGTTCAGTCTGGAAAGAATATAGCAATATCTCATGACATCTCAATAATGCAATAGAACAATTTAGTTGAAAAGGGGAATATCCTTGGATGTACATTTTCCAACCAATTTATTTTGTAAACTTTAAATCATAACAAAACAGGTATTATCAGACTGTTTTTCATGCCTCAGGCATTTTCTTTAGCAAAAATTAAACATTATAAAAATTGATTCTCAGTGATAAAAGTGTGATTCTGATCTGCTTACTGTTAGATTCTCCTCCCTCCTTTTGTAAGTGACTTCAGATAAAAATCCTCTTGGGGAAGGGGGTGCATCCCGCCCTGACTCCGCTCTTAAAGAACACAAATTACAAATTTACATTCAATCTGATTATCAATCTCATATTATTCTTGATTGTTCCACAAAAAATTATACCATATGTTTAAAAAGTCTATTACTTCACCTTTATAACTCAATAGCAAGATCACCATGCATCTTACTGCCATAAAAATATTCATCCTGACTCAATAAACCTTACAAACCACAGCATGCTAAGCTGTACTTACCCCTTGCCTCTGCCTTTCCCCACAGCTCTAGACCTCACTGACTTTGCTATCTGTGTAGACCCTACTCTGGTCTTGTATGGAGAGAGAGAAGCCTTCCTTGGCTGCTGTGCTGCTAGCTGGGCCCTGGACACTGGAGTGGGGTCAGATGCTTTTGGGGTCTTGGCAGCACTGGAGAAAGAGAACAGGGAAAGCAGGCTTACACCAGGGTTTTAAGATGGGAGGTCCAATACAGTACAATGCATGCAGATACATATTGCTATCGTAACAGTACTAATTCACTAAATACAAACAAAATAAATTGAGAAGTTTCCCCAAAACTATGTTTTGTTAGACATGCAATGCAAGCAACCTGCTACATAAACCAATACAGTTTGCCCTGTAGTTAGCTAAGTTCATCAAACCTTAGAGGCCATAATGAAAACTCATCCTCAAAAATATATAAATAGAATTTTAAAAAATAAGTTAATTAAAAAAAACTTTCCAGGGTATGCATACTCCAAAATTTATATGGAGTTTATGGAGTTGATGTCCCTTGTGCCAATAATTTTATCACTACCTGATTGCTCCTTGTAGGTTATCACTGGAGCTACTACTGGACATGGGATCCACAGGGGTGAACTCCACACCGCTCTCCACTCCAGAGGAACTGCCACGCACCTGGAGTGCATGTGGCCTATGGTCATCTTTGAATATCACAGACTCCTGTACAATTAAAAAAACAACAGACTATATCATAAATCATTTTTCAATGAATAACCATAGGTTTCTTTAGAGTTCCTTTGGGTAGTAATTTAAAAGCTACCAGCAAAGGTCTTGTTGAATTTGTCTTGTCTAAAGTATCGTTTTTCTTTAATGTCCCTTTTTTTTTTTTTTTACATAAAAGGTCCTTTAAATCTGTATACCTACCTTTAATTTGCCTCCATTCTTTTTGCCCCCTGTGCCACTCTTATCCACACTTTTCTTTTTATCTGTAAAAAATAAAAAAAAGTGTTGGAACTGAATTATAATTTGAAACATAATCTACCATTCTGACAATATTTCAGTAACGTCTTACAAAACCTTTAAAAAGATTTTCCTCAGAATAAGAAGTACATTGTAGAATGCTGTACCTGGTTTGAGGTCCTTGTTAACCTGAATACTAGACCTGGAAGAGTCTAGCATTTTTCCAGGAATATCCTCATCTGATTGGTCAGTTGTGTCGTCTGGCTCATTACCATCTTTGATATCCATCTCTGAGAGAGCAAGCTCATTCTTTATCCAGGCAGGAATCTGAGGGAACATTGAAGACAACTATGCATTTGTTGCAACTGTTAAAATATTTTTCACATTATAGTTTTTTATAGTCATTTAGCCATGGTCTGTATGCATCAACTGCTTTCCTGAAGGATGGGGCAATTATACAATTATTTCTATGTGTGTTTCTTGAATCTACAGAAATGTGATAAAACATATAATAATTATCCCAACTTCATTAAATGATTTAATATATTGATTCATTAAAGCATAGGTACTATTAGATGAGTTAAATAGAATTCAACGCATTATGTAAAAAGCACACTCTTGACAACATCAATAAGCTTTTGTAGCAAAACACCAGTACTGAGCTCTAGGCTGATGGAATCAAAAAAATAAATTAAATAAATAAATAAATAAATAAATCAAGACCTTGAAATGAAAGTGTACACTTTTGTGCCAGCTAAATAATTATGTGACATATCTATAAAACTAACAATGGAGACTACTTTTCTATACCCTATTCAATTCATTTAAGCAACACAAAATTTCGATAAAAGTTTTAAACTGGTAAAAAAGTAAGTTCTGTACAGAAGCTGAACATGTTTTTCTACTGATGAGGCATGACAACTTGACCCATCTCTAAAGGTACTTGATCACACAACTGACTCGTTGATGTGAACTCCAGCAGCTAGGATATCATGGTAGATGGGGCAGTGAAGTTGCAAAACCTTGACACAGTTCAGAAAACATTGAGGGAGACTTCGTACCTCTTGGGTAGAAAAACAGGTTAAGAAACAATTTACTTTTCTACCACCATTACATAAAAGACACTGAAAGATCTATTTCACGAAAAGATAGAACTGTATATGTGCTAGTGTTCATTAACATGTGTTCCGTTTAATCATTTCAAACACTCAAAAAAATGCTAACACACACTAAAAAAGTCAGCTGACAACAGGTAGGTGCACTGAAAAGAAAACTGCAGCTCAAAAACTAGCTATCAGAAAAAAAAACGAATCCAATTAACTATCTACAACACCACAAGCCATCGAACAGTTGGATATTCACCACACTGTCTCCATGGTAATCTGTACTGCCAGCAACATTTCTACTGCTCTCGCAGACTTTACCTTCGCTGCCTGCCAAATGTTTCTATAAATAAGATAATAAACATTTGACTTGTATATGCTGAATGCAAAAACACCTGATATTCATTTGTGGGAACAGAGTTCTGGAGTAGGCATACAATATGCATTAAACCTCTTGGAACTTTCAGCAGTTTTCCCTTTACCATGATGGGATATCCTATCAAAAAGCATTGAGGAAATTATCTATAAGCCCTTTTTCAAGCTCTTTATATCTCCATTTAAAAGAGTAACAACAAAATTAGAAACTTAGAACTTAAACTAGACAGATAAAGCAGCAATAACACAGATATTTAACAAAAGCTCACTTTAATCAATCACCCTTCTTTTCAAACTCTATCTGCCCTCATTAATAAGAAAGTTTATTAGCAGATCTAAAGTAAAACACACACACACACACACACTTGTAAATTTGAAATAAAACAAAGATACAATTTAGCATTAATGTGTAAAAAAAAAACATACATACTCCAATAACTTTTGAAACAATAACCTGATCATGCTGAATTTTGAACTCTGCCTACATTTTACCAAACAAAATCACGGAGTTAATTTCAAGCAGAACAAAAAATGATTTTGGAGTTATGAGCAAGCCAATGTGTCAGATATGACATTCACAACAATGACATCGTGGTGGTGATGACACAAACAGATATAGGGAATTCAAAAATTAATATACAAAGACAATTGAAGATAGATCTAAATTTTGTGAACAGTTTTAGATATTGTATACCTTGCTGATAATGGGAATAGTATTGAGACTTGCAGGGAAATATGTAAAGGTGTAATGCTCATATTTTTTTAATATTCAACTTACAGTGCCATATGTGTCCATTTCTGAAGTTTCTGAGGAATATTCATCCACAGTATCCCTGCTGTATATTTTTTCAGGAACTTCCAATGTATTGGTGCTGATTCTTTTCCTGGCATTATCAAGGAAAAATAAATATTTGTAGTAAAACAATACTCTGTAAGCACATTGGGTGCAAATTCAAAAATAACACATTTCATAAAGTGCAAATCAAATTGCCATTATTTTTCTTCTTGCTAATTATATTCTCAAATAAAGAAAAAAATTTGGCTAATTGTGTTCTCAAATAAAGAAAAAATTGGGTTAAAATTTATCTTTTTTTTGTGTAGTTTGATTGTAGAATCTACAGATTTCACTGAAGTCACTTTCTACCTGAATGACTTCTTTTTCTTCATTTTTTTCTTGGGTGGAGGAGCCGTTGTTTCAACCTGGACAAAGAGATTTTCACCGTGGCAACAAAAGTTAGACAGCAGTACTGTATCTGCTGATGCACCGTCAGAAGTAACATTGAGCCTGAGAAAAGAAAGACAAAGAGTAACAAGCCCGTAGCCAGCAATTTCAAAAGGGGGGTTCTTTTTCTGAAAAAGTGGACCTTTTCCCATAAAAACTTCATGTACCTAGATCAAATTTTACCCAGAGTGGACCTTTTCCCAGCAAAAGGGGTGGTTCTTCCGAACCCCCTGAACCCCTTCTGGCTACGGGCCTGAGTAAAAAAATAGTGGTTTACGGTCAAAGCTGTGTCTGTGCTGGCCTGGCCAAGTGCTTAAAACTGGGACATTTGACGTTCAGCTTTGAAGAGAGTTAAATCAGATCTGAAAAGCAAATATCTAAAATCGCATTTTCAAAAATATTTTGGTTAAACATGGATTACATACTAAACATGTGAGAACGCATTAAATGACCCTAAAATCTGACAGGTACCAGTATGAATAGTGGCAGTAGTAATAATTGGTTTATCTGCACTATATAAGTGTTGAAACCATTACCCACAAAAATTTGTGAAAAGAAACTGAAGGTTTTAAATGCAAATAGGGCCAAGCATAGAAGTGAAATTTAGTCTCAGTGTGTCCAGCTTGTTGCAAGTCATGAAAATCACAGTTCAAAGCTGGTGTAAAAATTAAACAGTCCATGTGGAATTGGTAATTCATATATATTTCTTTATAAAATTCAAAGATTTCAAAACTCACTATTTACAATGTAGTCCATTGCTACTGAAACTTTTGGTGAAAAATTCAAGTAACATAGTCTTAAAACAGTGACAATAAGTTCAGTGTCCTAAAGAAGAAGCTGGGTGTTCATTCTATTGATACTTAAGTGCCCAGTGTTTTATTCAATTTTATATCTTGATTCAATATCTTCATGAAGAATATGGGTATATCAAAGACTTACATAAGTAAATGTGTTGGCTGTAGGACTAGGTCGGTCTCATCCTTATTCAGTTCTTTCTCTTTCTCCTGCTCCTTCTCCCGTGTCTTGTCTCTGGCTGTTCCAGATCCACTGTTGGTGCCGGCACTGTTAAGGCGGCGTGGTGTGCTGCCTAATTATAAAGAAATTAAAAAGATGCAGTGAGTCAGCTTTGGTCATTGTAATACACTAATTCATAATTGGAAGATAGGAAAATACAGACGTGTCTTAAATTTTTTAGCTTGTAATTTACACTCTTCTTCCGTGGTTATTTCACTTTAGATTTTACATCACAAGATTTCTTGTTTAAATTCAAAATGTACAAATCAGCAATTAGGCCCTTCACTGCACTTTCATGACAGTTTCTCACAATGTGAATAATTAAAGCAAAAACATCAATAATAATGCATCTGAAAGTTATCTTTTTCTGGAATAAAAAAGTTTTTAGCATGTCATAAAATGGAATGTATAGTGTAATCCCATAGCTAAATACCATAACTGTGACTGGGGTCTAAATTCACACAAAATTACCCCAACTTGCATGGATTGTACTGAATAAATGAATGAATTAATGATAACGAAAGTGAACTGCATATGTTTTTCTATAAACCTCTTCGCTTTCAGCCACTTACTGATAGGTCTAAATCCCCGAGATGTGCTTGTCCCACTATCATGGCTAGTATTGAGTAGGTCCTGAGATTGAGATACCACACTGTCATTACTCAGCTGACGGTCACTAAATGGAGGGACCACAGTGGACTCCACTGCAGTGGACCCAGCAGAACCTGGAATGACCAGAGAAGTGAACTGACCCAGGTTTAAAAAAAAAAAAAAACTTAAGTCAGCTCCCTGGCTTAGTTTACGAGGATTTCCATGAGAGTGCTGTAACACTGTTCCTGATAGGGTAAGATGTGAGCATGTAAAGTTGGTTATTAAGTTCTTAGCCAAGAGTTTTTTTTTTTTTTTTTTTTTTTTTTTTGTGAAACTGGGGCTTGAATTGGCTGAACTAGCCTGGGAGTGATGTTATTAGCCTTCTGCCTTCTCATCTACAAATTTGCCTAGTAGAATTATACAACAAATTAACAAGGGAGTTTTGAACTGAGACTGTATTAGAAAACAGATGTCAAGATTACGAAGTCAATATCCATTAGTTGAGACTTGTACAAATGTTTCATAATAAAAAAATTAATTAAATGATGAAAAGTTTTTGTAGAAAATGCAATATGGAAAAAAAATAAGGTAAAACTCTTTTGACCATAATTTTTAATTCAAAATTTTTTTACCTTAAAGTTTAAAGCTAATCGTTTAAATAACCTACCTCCCCTACTGGTGAGTGACAGTTTTTCCTGAGCAATTTCATTGGAACTGTTGAGACTCTTCATACTGGACATACTAGGCTGCCGAGAGTGAGACGGTTTGCTGGAGTTTGGACGACTTGCATTTCCACTCTCTGAAGTTTTTGTGTCTGTAATGTCATTAATACTGTTGGTACTTCTCTGTGTGTCATCCATGGCGGTGGGCGGGGTTTTAAAGCGTGTTCCCCAAAAGTAGAATTCATTGTCTGAAGTACTGACTGCTGTATACATGTCACCACATCTTGCTCTCTAAAATCAGAAATAATTGACCCAAATTTCTTATATTAGGCAGGAAAAAGAGTGTACTGAGTGTCTCTTTTGCTGATGGTATATAGATTGAAAATGCAGAGACTGTAATGCAGAGACAGGAAAAAAACATACACAAACTGCATGTGAAGTCACTATATTTGAAGCTACACTAAAAATAATGGTTAAATTAATTTTTGAGTTATTATTATTTAATTTTTTTAATAAGGTACAGAGAGTTAAGGTTTTTAAAATCATACATTAATGAGAAAAAATCTTCAAGTAAAAATGAATAATACAATTGAGAGGTGGACACAGAATTTCATTTTTTCCCTTTCAAGACCGTTTCACATAAATTATTAAATTGCTTCATAATTCTCACTCAATTTCACCAAACTCGCCACAAAGCTGTCTCAATCACAGACTCCAGCTCAATGGCTTACCGAGACCACTTTCCCATCCATGGCTTTCACTTTGATTGGTGCATTTTGCAGCTTTGTGTTTCCTGTCCCCAGCTGACCCTCGGCATTCTTCCCAAACGTATACACATGCCCTGGCTCCACCAGGACTGCACTGTGCTTGGGACCCAAAGACGCATTGATCACTCGGTGGTTGGTGAGGGCTCGCACAATGGTAGGAGCCTTCACCTCTTCAACCTCAGTCTGGAAAGATTCACGGAAATATTGACTGCATTAATGAACCTAAACTTTTTTGCAAATAACCAAAGATCGAAATAAAGATTGGAGTATTATAGAGTTATGCAGGTAAATCAACTTAGATATTTTTTGATACAATTATGTCTATGGCATCTATGTCATAGACTATACTGTATGAAATATGTTTTTTTACTCTTCAAGAATAAATATTCTTTTTTTTTCTGAATAAAAATGAACAATTGACATAAACAAGAATACTTACACAGAGAAAACAAGATTCCTAAACATTCTCAAAGAGTGCATTCCCAGAGATTTAGATCGATCCAGAGATTTAGATTTAGATTGCCCTAACTCCCTGGGGGTTCACGCNAACCTCAGTCTGGAAAGATTCACGGAAATATTGACTGCATTAATGAACCTAAACTTTTTTGCAAATAACCAAAGATCGAAATAAAGATTGGAGTATTATAGAGTTATGCAGGTAAATCAACTTAGATATTTTTTGATACAATTATGTCTATGGCATCTATGTCATAGACTATACTGTATGAAATATGTTTTTTTACTCTTCAAGAATAAATATTCTTTTTTTTTCTGAATAAAAATGAACAATTGACATAAACAAGAATACTTACACAGAGAAAACAAGATTCCTAAACATTCTCAAAGAGTGCATTCCCAGAGATTTAGATCGATCCAGAGATTTAGATTTAGATTGCCCTAACTCCCTGGGGGTTCACGCTAAATTGCAGTCAGCCAAGCGTGCACCATAGTTAATTACCCCCTTACAGCTTTTAGTAGGCGGGACAGACATTTAAGCCTGTTAAGCTGACACCAATCTAGTGAGACTCCCCAGGGGGATAGATCGATCTAAATATCTATGGGAATGGGGTCAAAGACTGACCTTTGCAAATATGTTCTTCATAGCCATGAGGAACCCCTGCCTGTTGTTAAGTCCCAGTTTATTGTATTCATTGTTCCCAAATGCCAGCACACTGCCCACATCTGTCAGTAGCATGGTGCCATCCACACCACAAAACACCTCCCGCACCATCATAGGTTCTGTGATTTTCACCTGCATGGGTTGGGCACTGAAAGGAGCAAAACAGAATCTATAATCATTGCAGTATGGTTAGTTTCCTTCTTTCATTCTCTCTCTTCTTTTCTCTCTATCACTCATGAAAGAAAATTGAATATGAAAGACGAAATTTTTTTCATTTTTAATAATAACATTAGAACCCAAATGCTTATCAGATATTATTACAACTAGTAAAACTAAAACCATTTGTTTCCTTAAAAGAACAAAAAGGCATATAAATTATCTTTTGCATCTTAAAAAAAATAAATTATTAAGTGAAATAACTTTTTCATGGCCAATTGATGAAGACATTAAACATCATGCCTCACAGTCAAAAAGAATAAGAATAACCTCGGACCCAAAATATATCTTCTATCCTAGGAATAATAT